GGAGCAACAAGTGCAGCGCAAGGCTTCAGGAGCGCAGTGCAGTTAGCCGACATGTTGCGCCGCGGCCTCGCAATTCTGTTGTTGCAGGCCGGCTCTTCGCACGGGCATTGCAGTCGGCTACGACTGGCCAGCGGCGAGCAGAGCCAGAGGTATCCGAGATTGCAACCGTGGCCCCGGCGCCTAGGGAGATGTGGGTGGCCCACCCCAAAGAGAGTGATATTCACTCTAAGATGTGCAGTACCGGGCGGGTCGACCCCTTCGAGGTGGGGTATGCGTGCACCAGCATCCCTGACCATCAGCCCGACGGCAGGGCCGCCAATCAGCCTTTGAGTCGAGTCTGGCAGTCTGCCAAAGTCCTCGATCACGCGGTGGACAAGGTCGTCTACATCGGCCACGAGCAGCCCGTTGAAGTCTTTCGGGCAAAGCTCCCGAGCGGCCGCGAGCAGCTCCTGACGACGGAGGGGTGGAAGCTCTGGATCTTGCAGCGGTCCGCCCTCGCACGGTGGCCGAAGAAGGCCATCATCCCGACGAAGATCCTCATGGACGAGGACGAGGTGAATGAGAAGATAAAGAACGCCGACATCCCCGACGATGTAGATTCCACTTACATGCAGTCCGAGGATGGGGCGCGCACCTTGTTTTCCTGGAGGGCCGTGATGGCGAGCAAGTCCAAGGCTAAGTGAGCGCCGACTGCTTTCAAGTGCGCAAAAGCCCGGCATGCCAGCGCCGAGGGTTTAGCAACGGTTTCAGCTTTGGTCCTGAGCTTCCTGGTGCCAGAGCTGAGGGACTGGAAGATTCCTCCATCTTTTCGGGCCGAAACGCATGACTCCATGCTCTTCGATGTTTTCTGTATGGCAGGTGGTGCATGTATCTTGACTGTTGTAATGAATATCGAAACTCGGATGCAAGCTTGGCAACATGTCGCTTTTCTCGTCGAGCCGCGGAGACCCGCAGGCAGATGTTTCTTTGTGCATGTCAGGGTGCCAGAATGCCGTCAGGCTCAAAGCTAGCGTAGCTAAAACTTCGGAAAGGACATGCCGATTTCTCGGCAGGACTGGTACGGAGGCCGTGCCGCCTCTGTTGATTCGCTGTGCCTC